TTTCCCCCCCCCCCCCCCCCCCGGTACTTTATTATCATTCCCTCAATAAAGATAGGCCTATATAGAAATCGCTTTTTATAAGCACCTCAATATTAGGAATCGTTAATTCATAAAAAGGTAAAGGGATACAGAATACATATATGAATAATCTAACAGTGTGTAAAGGGTACACGTTGTCTGCCCACTGGGAAGAGTACTCTCAGGCCCTTCTGGCTGTTACTAAATTCATCCCAGGAACGAGTTCGCAATAAGAAAAAAATTCTCCAGGAAAATCTCCAGGAAAGTCATATTTTTACTGATAAAAATATTATCGAATGATTTAATATCATAATAAGGATTAATTAAGATCGCCACCTTTGGAATCTCTAGTTTGAGCATCGCTTCCTGTCAACTTTATTACTGAAGACAATCTAATTTGCATATAAGAGAAAAATGCAGTTTTTTGTTTGTTTTGGGTTCAATACACAATTTTTCATAATTTTCAAATATAAATGTTCCTTTTTCACTGAAACACTTATGAATATTTTATCACTACGCGCAATTTATTAGTTAAACAATCACAAATAACCATCATATCCCAAGTGTATATGACGTAATCTCTCCCAGGTCATAAAAGTGTAAAATAGTGATGATTGCCGCCCAGCTGGTGAAGTGGGTCAATTGCCTGTATAATACTGCCATACGATTATCGATTTTTTCTAGTGTGGAACATTTTAGGGGGAAGATGATCAGAGAACTTGATCAAGTTACCAAAAAATATTTGACATAAATAAAGTTACTAAAAGCAAAGTATATTACAATATTTTAGAAAGTTGAAAAACGGATCCCAATTCTTTAATTTCACAGTGCACATATTTTGCAGATATCGTGAGACATTTCTATTTCATCTGCCTCTCCCTAAAATGGCGCTGACCTCGTTAACTCTTCAACTCCCGGGAAATGCAGAGAATCCAGCACGTTGTGGCAGCATGAGAACCGATACGTACACATAGGAGCTGTGGTGAGTTAAGAGAGGGTTAATTCCTCGGCTCCAGGGCGTAATAGCACGAAAATTCATGCGTTAGCACTCCTATTGACGATTCTGATATGTACTGTCTGTGCTACAGGGCGTAAATGAAGAAGAAAAGCTATGTGCTTCCACACTATTTCTACCCGGCAACCAGTTCTTGAGAACTATGAGTGGGTCACTTGTAGTGGACAGTGGTCAACAAGTCAGGACGACAGTATTAGGGACACTCAGGTAAACTGACCATTAGTGATGGGGGTCATCAGTTGACCACAATACAGAGGTCACTGTCAGTGTCATATTTACATTTTCATAGATTTTTGTAGCAGTGCTAAGTAATAGATAGACCCCGAGTCAGCGAGGGTTATGTGGCATACACGAGTGCGTAGCACGAGTGGATGTCACATAACCCTCGCTGACGAGGGGTCTATCTTACTTAGACCACGGTCCATTAACTTCAACAACAGTTCACGACATCACACGCAACTACCCCGCTATCTTCATGACCACATTATTCATCATGTTTGGAGCGGAGGAGGACGTCACCCTCTCTCAGCTAGATTTATTACCAACCCAATCGTTATATAAGGTGGATATCGATGCAGAATCAAAGCGGTTCGAAGAGCCAGTACATTCCGCTGAATTTGAAAAAATGGTTGCAGACAGAATTCCAACAAACACAGAAAAATACGACCTGGGCATGTAATATCTTTAAGGTCTGGCGCACGTGGCGTAATTTTAGAACTGTCACTATGGCCGACCCTCACTGGCCTATTCCAACCCTTGAGGAGGGAAATCTAGAGATTTTGAACTATTGGTTGGCTAGATTCATAACGGAAATTAAGCACCAAGATGGCAATTCCTATCCGCCAGGTGTGTTTAATTTTTCTTATCATTCGTTATTATCTTTTAAGTCGCAGCAGCACCCTGCTTCAATATTGTTAAGACATTTCAAATAAATATGCAATATTCGTGAAACAACTATATTTTGAATTTCAAAAGCATCGTGCGCTTCAGTAACTTCATCTTCAACCCAGCCTGCAAGCTCTTTATCGGCACCTCCAATGAAGCAAAATACGGAAAAGGACGACAAAATTTTAACAATTGAAATACTTTCTGTTATTGAGAAAGTTGTAATAATAAAAAACGGCAAAAAGATCACTTTTGAAATATAATACAGCTTGTTTTTTTTTTCTTTCTTTTTTCATATGTGGTGATAAACGCTCAGTCCCTAATTAACTTGCTTTCAGGTGTGTTTACGGTTCTGTGCTTCGATGAGTAGTATGTTTGTGTTTTAGCGTTATAACGCATTCATGCAAGACGTGCGGTTATGCGAGTTACACCACGTCTGAGTCTTTTGTTCTTCACTTCCACCGTGGTCTAAATTTGTATATGATATCTTAATCAGTAATTAATTCTGCATATAAAAACCAGTGAGAGCAGAGGGATGGGTTGTAACCTTTTTTTAACCACTAAATTTCCCATGTTTTGACATTTGATTCGTTCAAGTATATATTGATTTATTATAATAATTATTATAATTATCATTATGATGATGATGATAATGATGATGATAGAATTTCATTTGTTGACTACAGCTCAGCATTCCTTATGGTTAACTGATACAGAATGTTGCCAGTGTTAGGTGGACTGTTGTATTCACTTGATAACAACTTGAAATATTTTAATAAAATATTTGAAATATTTTAAAAAATGACACTCTTTGAACTGGGAGAGAAGGGATTGTAGAAATGCACCATGTGTGAATTGTAACAAGTAACATTTTACAATCTATAGTGGAGGACAGACAAATGGAGCAAAATATGAATAATGATGATCTGCAAGTTTATTACTTGACATGCAATTGACATATTTAGTAATTAAGATTAAGAACTAATTTTTGCCCAGTGACAGATTTTATTATTTCATAATTTATTACCTCCACGAATCAGGATGTGTTTTTTACTGAGTTTGTTTGTTCTTATGATTATCACTTTTAATTACTTGACCACTATCCACCTACCCACTACCCCAAACACTAAAAATATTCATACAGCATCTGTTTACCTGTTCCTCTGTGTACCCCACCTTTACCTGGAGGATAGGTGGTTACACTTTCATTAGATATTTAATAAAACTTTCTGCACTTGAAGTTGTTTTCAATGAAAAAGGAATTTGTTATAAAATAATTTGTTAATTATTATCACACTAAAATATTAATAGAATGGATGAAATGTTTTAAACTTTATACTTTTTACTTTATATTTGTATATAAATATATATTCCTTGGGGGGAATTGTCTGGGGGAGAATTGTCCTGGGGGAAGTTGTCCTAGAATACTAGAAACATTATGCAAAAAGTTATAAATAGAGTTTGATGACATTTGTAGAAACTGAAGAGGCCAAGAAACAAAAAACTGGATTTTGGTTGTGATCCATTTCATAATAATTAGTTTTATAAATAAATAAAATAAATGGGTGTGTGTGTGTGTGTGTGTGTGTGTGTGTGTGTGTGAGAGAGAGAGAGAGAGAGAGAGAGAGAGAGAGAGAGAGTAAAAGGGCAAAAGAGAAAGAAAGAGACAGAGAGAGGAGAGTGAGAGAGAGAGTGTGTGTGTGTTTGAGAGAGAGAGAGAGAAAGAGAGAGAGAGGGTGTTTGAGAGAGTCAGTGAGAGAGTTTCAGTAAGAGGAAGAGAACAGGGTGGAGAGAGAAAGGAGATAGAGNCAAACACTACAAATATTCATAAAGCGTCTGTTTACCTGTTCCTCTGTGTAACCCCACCTTTACCTGGAGGATAGGTGGTTATACTTTCATTAGATATTTAATAAAACTTTCTGTACTTGAAGTTGTTTTCAATGAAAAAGGAATTTGTTATAAAATAATTTGTTTTATGATGAAGTTGTATTATCACACTAAAATATTAATAGAATGGATGAAATGTTTTAAACTTTATACTTTTTACTTTATATTTGTATATAAACATATATTCCTTGGGGGGAATTGTCTGGGGGAGAATTGTCCTGGGGGAAGTTGTCCTAGAATACTAGAAACATTATGCAAAAAGTTATAAATAGAGTTTGATATCATTTGTAGAAACTGAAGAGGCCAAGAAACAAAAAACTGGATTATGGTTGTGATCCATTTCATAATAATTAGTTTTATAAATAAAATAAATGTTTGTCAGCTCATACAAAAATGTACAAGGATTTTTAGGGAGTGTGTTTGTGTGTGTCTGTGTGTGTGTGTGTGTTTGAGAGAGAGAGAGAGAGAGAGAGAGAGAGAGAGAGAGTAAAAGGGCAAAAGAAAGAGACAGAGAGAGGAGAGTGAGAGAGAGAGTGTGTGTGTGTGTTTGAGAGAGAGAGAGAGAGAGAGAGAGAGAGCGTGTTTGAGAGAGTCAGTGAGAGAGCTTCAGTAAGAGGAAGAGAACGGGGTGGAGAGAGAAAGGAGATAGAGACAGACAGAATGGGAGAGAATGTGTGTGTGTGTGTGTTTTTTTTTTTTTTTTCAATGAGCATTTAAATAACAATAATTGCTGTTTTATAATGGGAAGACATAGAAAATTGTGATTTCAACTGTTGCTGTTGTATTATACATAGGGACCATTCAGAATGAGAAGAGCCGAGTGCTAGCTAGGCCATGACCTAAATATGTTGGACCTACATGAAAGGAAGACTGCTTAATCCTGTAATGGTCTCTCCAACTCTCATACGCGTCTATGCTGCAGGGGCACAGAAATTTAATCTCGGTTCAATTCAACCAGCCAAGGGACACTGAGCATAGTAACATCAATAATTACAGTTGCATTATGGGAATACATTGAGCATTGTGACATCAACAATTGTGGTTGCATTATAAGAATACATTTAGCACTGTCAAGCGGCAATCCTTGTCTCATTCCACAAGCTCCATACTAACCTCGGATGTGATAGGCGGAGAAATATGCACCAAATCCAAGCATTTTGTTCGCCGGAAATGCCTTCTCACTTAATCGTTTATTCCGCTCATAAAGATGGCTGTCAATACCACTGATTTTTATGATGCTTTACAGTTTGCCGAACAATGCACTAGGATTGACTTTTATTTAAAGGATAAACAGATACAGACGTTGAAATATTTGTACTATGTACATGATACATGTACTTTGGCTGTTTTACCAATGGGCTATGGTAAAAGGTTGAAAGTNCATGAAGCATTTTAACATCAACAAGCGCTGCTGCATTTTGGTAAGAGATTGAACATTGTGACATCAAGTGGTGTTATAATGATATTATTGGGAATACATTGCTTTTTTCACTTGCTTATTATATTATTCAATCAGATGATTTCTTTGAATTTATTATTTTCTCTGTTTTATGTACAGACACATTGTGCCTGTATATGTAGCCATTACCTGGATCTGTTGTAGTTGTCCCCAACATTTTTGTTGTCCCTGTGCACTTTCAGTGTCAACATGATATTATTAAGTGGAAAACTGCTTGCAAAACTGATGAACATTCGTGATATACAGGCAGAATTCGAAAACCGGCATAATCCCACCAATTTTTTCAAAAATTAACCTGTGTTTTTTCCCCCCACTTTTTTTCAGCATGTATGCAATACAGGCAACACATTTCAAGGAAAACTGATAGGCCTTTTTTTTTCAAACTTACAGGAGTGACCAATGTTACCAGAGTACAGGTTGAATAAGAAAATCCAGTTATTCAAACTATTCTTCTGGAAGTTATGCATATTTCTTTCAGTATTTTTCATCCTGTATGCAACACTGACAGCACATTTCAAGGAAAACCAATAATATTGTCTTCAAAACTTCAGGAGTGATCAATATTATTTTTATGCTTTTTTTTTTTTTTTTGTATGTATTATAATATATGCTGTACAGATAACACATTTCTAACTTACAGGACTGATCAATAGTGTTAATATACAGTCCAAGTGTAAAAATCAGCTTGATGGGACCATTTTTCTTGAATTTATGTGTTTTTTGTTTTATTTCTCAGCATATACTCTAATTCTGGAACCATAAATGCTAGAGACCTCATGTTTTCTGCATTTTATAGAGCTTGTCAAGCGCAACACTGGAAGTGGTGTCATTTTTTGTTCGTTTGTTTTTTTTTTTTTAATGGTATACGAGTTGTGCTGTATCAAAAAGTACAGTGTGGTGGTGAATATAAGATGTGAAATACGTACGGTTTTTTGGAACATAAACATACGTTACCATTGAGGGGTCTTTGCATAATGTTAAAGACATGGTAAAATTTAAAAATTGAATTTCAGTTGAGACAGACTCACAGTCGTGATTTTTTGTTCTTCACACATATATGTTTTGAAATATTGTATGCAATTTTGAATTCATTCATTTTTATGTACAGACACAGATGTGTCTGTACATATAGCCGTCACCTGCGTCTGTCGTCGCCATCGCCGTCACCGTGCACTCAGCGATAACACGATAAGTGGAATACCGTTTTACATTTTGTATTCAAATTTACAGAACTGATGAATATTCATAATACGCAGGNCATATTTCTTTCAGTATTTTTCATCCTGTATGCAACACTGACAGCACATTTCAAGGAAAACCAATAATATTGTCTTCAAACCTTCAGGAGTGATCAATATTATTTTTATGCTTTTTTTTTTTTTTTTTTTTGTATGTATTATAATATATGCTGTACAGATAACACATTTCAAACTTACAGGACTGATCAATAGTGTTAATATACAGTCCAAGTCTAAAAATCAGCTTGATGGGACCATTTTTCTTGAATTTATGTGTTTTTTGTTTTATTTCTCAGCATATACTCTAATTCTGGAACCATAAATGCTAGAGACCTCTTGTTTGCTGCATTTTATAGAGCTTGTCAAGCGCAACACTGGAAGTGGTGTCATTTTTTGTTCGTTTGTATTTTTTTCGTTTGTATTTTGTATTTTTTTTAAAATGGTATACGAGTTGTGCTGTATCAAAAAGTACAGTGTGGTGGTGAATATAAGATGTGAAATACGGTAATCACCCAAACCCAATATAGACGTGCAATTGATATCACAAGCATGTTATTTAAAATATTTACTGCACAGATTGCTAACTGTGTTTGATTATTTTAGGGTCCCACATGAAGAAGCTTGTATTAAATTTTCACTCTCCTGGAACCATGAATAATTAAAAATAATTCATCATTTAACCCCAAAAAGGTACATACGTTACTGTCACAAATACAAAACGTCCAACTGTGAAACGTTCTACTCACTTTGAAAATTCAGTCATCACTGGTTTTGTTCATTGATTTATCTCCTACAAGTATAACGTTGCTAAAAATGATAATAATCTTCTGTATAGAGCAGTTAATTGTTTTTGAGCGACTTTAGTTTGCTTGTCACAGAATATTAAAAAAAATGGGGAAAATACACCCTACCGACAGTAAAATAAGCATTAAATAAAAAAATTTCCCTTCGTGATCCAAATACTATATCAGAAATGTCAAACTATCATGGAACCACAATATATTGTTCGGTCAGCAAAAGAAAACATTGTATCTCTTGCACACAAGTACTTGAACAAAATGAAACATTTTGACAATTTTTCTAGGGAACGTATGTTACCTAGTATAAGTGATGACGCAAAGCCCCTTGAGATACAGTTTAAATATTTATAAAAACGTCCTTACGTCATGATTAATTTACCATGACTGA